TATCCACAACCTTGCCCCTTCGGACCTATCTGACCTCCTACACATCTCCATCCCCTCTCGCTCTCTCAGATCCTCCTCTTCACTACACCTCCATGTACCCTCTGCCCGCCTCTCCACCATGGGGAGCAGGGCCTTCACCTTCATCTCTGGAACTCTCTACCCCCTGACTTACGAGACACCACCTCTCTTTCTCTATTCAAGACTGCTCTGAAAACACATCTCTTTAGACTCGCTTATCCTTAACTTTGCTGTATGTATTTTATATTCTTTATGTATTTTATATTCTGTATGTATTTTATATTCTTTATTCCTGTTGATCTTTGTTCTTACTGTAAAGTGTCCTTGGGTGTCATGAAAGGCATTTTTTTAAATAAAATGATTATTATTATTATTATAAAACTACTATTTAAAACATATTAAAACCACTCTTTGCTTAAAATATGAAAGAAAGGTAGGCTAAGGTTTAAAAAAAAAAAAAAGTCAGTTTGAGGCAACAAGGAAGAGGGCCGGCAATGGAGGAGGGGGCGTACCAAAGAGACCATCTTATCACAAGCAGAACTGGTTTGTTCCACTTTGGAGTAAGCAGTTGGGGGAAGAATCAGTTTTGTTGTGTGTTTCCTTGACTGATGAAGCCTTCCGGATCGAAGGCGAAACGTTTCAGCACAAAAAAGAAACTGTCCGGATGACCTGACTGAAAAAATGTTGGATTGTATACCTGGATTATTGAGCATGGACTTTGTTGTTCAATTCGAGGCTGTTTATAAGAAAGGAAAGGGAGATTGGCTGCTGGTTTTTGTCATTTAGACTTTGTTGAAGTTACACACAGTGATGGTGGAGATAGCGAGGAGGGACAATTTCCTGTTTTAGACAGGAAGCAGCAGAGATTATGACTCATGCAGAGTGGTAAAAAAACGTGCTGCTCCGTGTCAGAACAGGACGCTGGTGGTCAAACTGACTGTGTCCCATGTGACCTACAGGATGAAGTGTCCTGAAGGTAGTGCAAGTTGTTCAGCGTCTGACACATGCTTGGGACGGTTTTAACTCCAGCACAGGCTGTGATATATAATACTGTATGCGTGTGTGCACGTAGTGCACTTGTAACCTTACTGTGAAATGTGTATTTAACTGTGTAAATTAACAGTGATGTTCCCTTCTAAAGCCTGTTTCTCATGAAAGTTGTTGTCTGGTGGTCAGTTGGAAGTTTTGGTGATTGTGTGAGTTTTCCCTCAACAACAATAAAAGTTACATACGTTTAGCAGATTTCCTGTCCCAAGTTGAAGCAAAGTAAACTTACTGTAAAGCTCACTGCACAAATATACTCCTCGCTCGTCTTGAGCTTAAGCAAACAGAGCTGAAAGTGGAACCGACGATGCAAACACTGACTCAGGGTTCGAGAAAGTGGTTTGTGCGTTTCTGACGGGGCCTGTTTTTTTTTTTTTTTTTTGTGTGTCTCGCATGCTTCGTTGTTCGGGGCGAGGTGCGGGTGACACGAAAAGGAAGAACAGGTTCGCTGTCAGAACGCAGGAATCTCAAAGAGCAACGTTGTTTTGAAGCTAACAGCTGACGAGACCAGAGGAGCTAATCAGGCATTTCTTTTTGTTATAGTGTCTGCCACGTCCTGAAGCAGCAGATCTGATCTGATCTGTCCCACCCAGAATCTGTTTTCTGGAAAGGTTTGACAAGAAACGCGTCCTGAGCCTTTCGGTAGATCGACTGGTTTAGCAGTCACCGAGTCCACGATGTTTTTGAATAAAATGTGAAAGTGTAATTAAAGTGGATCAAATTCAAAAGCCCAAACAAACAGCATACAGGTTTCTCTGAAACGATGGCTTAGAGGCGGTTTAAGTTGTCGTAAGATGTTGGAATGGCATGCAGTCTGCAACAGGGTGGAGTTTGGCTTTTGGACCCATGGCTTTATTTTTTGTGCACATGTTATAACTGTATGTGAAAATGGCTCATGCGTAATGAGAAATACACTCCACACCTTGTTGACAGTGAGAAAATATATGTTGGTTGTTCCGCTCAGTTTTATTGCACACTTGTGCATTTGTTTTCATATAACAAAGCGGTCAGTTCAGCATTAGAGGAAGCAGTGGAGAATACTGGTAAAATGGTTAAATCATATTATAAATATCTATAGTAACGGGCTCAAGGTATTTTATTTATTTAATAAGCTGTCTGTGTGCCAGGCAAACAAAAAGGACCAAAAGAGGAACAGCGGACTAGTTTCCTCCTCGAAATATAACTTTTTTTTTTTTTTGCATCAGCCTAAATCTTTCTCACCGTAATAATAAACTGTTTATCTAAAGGCTTAAAAAAAAAAAACCTTAAAATATTCAGAGTGCCCAACATGTGGTAAAACAAAAAACACATCTGTGCATGAAAAAAGAGAACAACCTTTTTATTTCTTCTTGTTCAGAAAGGAAACTTGAACAAAACATAAACGTATTAAGCAATCATTGTAAAATAAATGAGAAATGTGTTGTATATTCAGAAATAAGCTCTTTTGGCGAGTTAAAACACCTTCCAACCAGTAGAGCAGAGAAAATGTAAAGCCCTACAGGGAAATGAATGAGTTCTCCTTTTCCTGCTAGAACATTAAGGGAGCATGGGGGAGCACGGTTTGCAACCTGATGTGCCACGATACATGAATATCTCTGCTCGTTCTTGTCATCGGAGTCAACTTGATTTAATTGATTATGCCTTTTGAATGACTAATCAATTTAGATCTTTTTTTTTCAGAACAACACAACAACGATCAGTTGTTACGATCTGTTTTAATGTAAATATAGTTTATGTTTCCCAGTTCAGCTTTGATAAATCAGATTTATAAATGTCCAATTTTGTAAAACAGGGTCTTGTCCATAGCAGTCACATACTCGTCTTTTTGTAACCCAAGTTTACCGTAATCAAGAATTACTGGGAAAAGCTTCCAGGTAGTAGTAGATTGATCTGTAAGGAATAAATAATAATACAAATATAGTCAAAATATCGTCTAAAACTGATATGGATTAGCAGAAGAAAATAAAATGTAGTTTGAGAAAGGTGCAGTTTGCAGAAACAGATTTTTAGTCCATGATGTTGAGAGATTGAATGTCTGATTGGATATTTTATAAGTTTTTGAACTATGTAATTATTTCTGTAGTTAAAAAAAAAATATATATATTATTATTATTTTTTTTGTTTTACTTTTAGTTCTCTGAAGGTTTTGCTTTTTTGCAGCTGATTTTTATCGTTAACGTTTTTGCAATCTCAGCATATCTTGGTCTCTGTCTTCAGAATTATGCATGAAAAGAAGCATTTGAATATATTTAGTACTATACAAATATTGTTCGGTGTTGCTGTTTTAAAAAAACAAACAAAAAAACACAGGAATAAGAGGATGGGAGCTTTTCTGGGTTAGAAATTATACAGGTGCTGGTCATCAAATTAGAATATCATGAAAAAGTTGATTTATTTCAGTAATTTCATTCAAATAATTTAACTTTGTATATTATTTCATTTTCATTTACCCTTTATTTACACAGGTAGACTCAGTGAGCCACGAGAACTCATTTTCAAGAGAGACCTGTTTAGGGAGCAGATTATATTCATACATTACTCCCAGACTGATATATTTCAAGTGTTTATTTCTTTTAATGTTGATGATTATAACTGACAAGACCCAAGTCCTGTTGGAAAATGAAATCTGTATCTCCATAAAGTTGGTCAGCAGCAGGAAGCATGAAGTGCTCTAAAACTTCTGGTAGACGGCTGCGTTGACCTTGGACCTCAGAAAACACAGTGGACCAACACCAGCAGAGATGACATGGCACCCCAAACCATCACTGACTGTGGAAACTTGACACTGGATCTCAAACAACATGGATTATGTGCCTCTCCTCTCTTCCTCCAGACTCTGGGACCTCGATTTCCAAAGGAAATGCAAAATTTACTTTCATCAGAGAACATAACTTTGGACCACTCAGCAGCAGTCCCAGGCGAGACACTTCTGACGCTGTCTCTTGTTCAAGAGTGACTTGACACAAGGAATGCGACAGCTGAAACCCATGTCTTGCATACATCTGTGCGTGGTGGTTCTTGAATCACTGACTCCACCTGCAGTCCACTCTTTGTGAATCTCCCCCACATTTTGGAATGAGTTTTGTTTCATAATCCGCTCTAAGGTGCAGTTATCCCTATTGCTTGTACACTTTTTTTTCCCACCACTTCGTTTCCTTCCCTTCGCCTCTCTATTAATGTGCTTGGACACAGAGCTCTGTGAACAGCCAGCCTCTTTAGCAATGACCTTTTGTGTCTTACTCTCCTTGTGCAAGGTGTCAATGGTCATCTTGTGGACAACTGTCAAGTCAGCAGTCTCCCAATGATTGTGTAGCCTACAGAACTAGACTGAGAGACCATTTAAAGGCCTTTGCAAATGTTTTGAGTTAATTAGCTGATTAGTGTGGCACCAGGTGTCTTCAATATTGAACATTTTCACAATATTCTAAGTTTCTGAGATACTGAATTTGGGGTTTTCATTAGTTGTCAATTATAATCATCAACATTAAAAGAAAGAAACATTTGAAATATATCAGTTTTGTGTGTAATGAATGAATATAATATACAAGTTTCACTTTTTGAATGGAATTACTGAAATAAATCAACTCTTTCATGATATCCTAATTTTCTGACCAGCACCTGTAGTTGTTTTAGCTGTACTGTCATTTTCCCAACTTATTTTAAAACATTTAATAAAGCTGATACATTCCAATACAGGAGTATTGCCTTGAATAATCATCTGTTGGTGTTTTTTACCGCACAGTTTAGAATTTTTGGAGCATGTTTGATTTTATATAAAATAGAAAAATGCACAGGAGAGCTCCAAAAATTAAATCATGGTTAGTGATAATTTGTTGCATTAAATTTACTCCTAGTGCTGATTAGACCATAATGTATAAAGTGATACTAAAATTCTTTGTTAAAATGCTTTTACTAATCCTTTTGTTTTCTGCTTTCAGCCATTTTTCCAACTGGTAAAACTCAGAAAACTTGGCCTAAGTGACAATGAGATCCAAAGACTTCCAGCGGAAATTGGCAACTTTATGCAGCTGGTAGAGCTGGATGTGTCTCGAAATGGTAAGAGGAAAACGTCAGTTTAGCACAGGCGTAAACTCGAGTTCTGCAACATGTGCAACTGTGTTTCTGTGCGTTTAATCCCCAACTGCCTGAATAAATTGTATTGCACAACAGGGCTGAAATCAGTAAATGAATCATTTTGACAGGTTTGCTCCTCGTTTGTGAAACCGATGCAACGAACGAGCTAAAAAACAAATACTGCTTTGCATTAGTCTTCATTGTAGCCACATTGAGCTGTAAAACTAAAATTAGATTGATAATTAAATTCAGGTTCGTGAGCTGTTTTTTTAACTGGTCTTGCAAATACTAGTTTATACAATCTTGTACCTGATCAGTGAAAGACACTTGGAGCAAAGCAACAGCATTTCACTTTCTTCTTCTCCCCACAGCATTTGTCTTCTTGTACTAGATAAGTTTATTAAAGTTGGTTACTGTGTAGTTTTAAATGGCAGATTATTGACAGAAGCCAGGACAGTGATTTACAGCCTCCCCAGATTAGTCATTTAAATTTTCACATCAAAGCAACAAGAGAAAAAGTCAAGTGTGCTTATAATAGTTTATACTTTTTAGAGCAACCCAAATATTTGGTTCACTTTTTGACAAAATGAGCACATCCAGAAGTCCCACCACCTTGTTTTACTCAGATTACTCCGTATTTTTAGTTGTGAGAAGTTGAGTTGCTTTCTTGTACACATTATATCCGTTTTATAACATTGTTTGTTCTTTTATTCAGATATTATGGAAATTCCAGAGACCATTTCGTGCTGCAAATTCCTCCAAGTGGCAGATTTCAGTGGTAATCCAATAACGAGGTGATTAACCGGCACAAAACAAGGATTTTTAAAAAAAATCAAGCCTTTTGAATATGAATGGGAAAGAAGACATTTTAAATATATTAGACAATTTTTTTTTATTTTATTTTTTGTGAGGAGAAATGTAATTGATTGTGTTCTTTAGTCTCCTCTGCTGGTGCAAGTTGAACAGTTTGCACTTGTTAGGCTGCAGATTGTGTATTGTAAGCTTTATTTGTGGGTGAGGTCAGGTCTAATTTACACCTCAGCATGAGCATCACCACAGGGCTGTACAGTGTTTGGAGCCATAAGCGACCGCAGTGATTGTTAATACAAAGTTATTTCTGTTACATGTGTTTTACACACAAACACTCACACCCGCAACACTTTTCACAGAAGAAACCCAATGTTCCTCTTGTGCATCACTCTTAGCAGCGGCTAAATAGGTCTAGGTTCAATAATAAGTTCAAAGGGACACAATGCCCTTTTTAGTCACTCTTAGAGGATGAAAATATTAAGGGTTCATTCTTTTCAACGATTAGAATTCAAGTTATGGCTAAAAACATTGATTAGGTTAGAGAAAAGCACCATTTAAACAAACTCACACAAACAAACAAAAAAAAAAATAACTAGAGAAATTGCATTTCTTGTGAAAATGCAGTGTGAATGCTCATTGCTGAATAATTTGCAGAAAAACAGCCGAAATTAACTATAAACGTGCTGAATTGTAGCTGAAATGGAAAAACAGGCCTAGATTAGCAGGAGAAAGCAGAAATAACACGTATTTGCTGAATTAGGTTTAAATAAGCAGAAATGGGCACAAAATTTAAACGTTAGCTAAAAAAGATGAAATTAGCAAAATAAAAAAACTGCTGAATAGTAGCTGAAAAGGCAGAAAAAAACTTATACAACCTGAAAGAAACGAAAAGAGCTGAAATTAGCTAAAAAAAATGTGGAATTAGCTGTCAAAGCTAAAGTTAGCATAAAATAGCTACTGGTAAATATTATCTGAACGAGCATAAATTGCTGAAACTAGCAGTAATAAGCTGAAATTAGCAGAAAGAAGTTAATTAGGCTAAAAGTAGCAGAAATTACCACAAAAAAACTTGAATTTATCTGAAAACAGCTGAAATTAGTTAAGACTTACAAAAAATGTAGCTGAAAACATAGAACAAGCTTAAATTAGCAGAAGAAAGCAGAAAGAACACGTTTGCACAATTACGCTGAAAGAAGCAGAAATGAGCACAAATAAGTGGAAATTATCCACAAAAAGATGAAATTAGAAAAAAAAAAAAACTGTTGAAAAGTAGCTGAAAAGGTAGAAAGAAGCTTAAATTACCAGAAGAAAGTGGAGAGAGCACATTTTTGTTGAGTTGGGATGAAAAAAATTGAAATGCTCGCAAAAAATTGGAATTAGGTGAAAAAGCTAAAATTAGCATAAAACAGCTAAATAATAGCTGAATAGAGCATAACAAGCTGAAACTAGCAGAAACAAGTTAAAAGAAGCACAAACATTTTTTTAGTTGGCAGAAAGAATCTAAAAGGAGCACAAAACAGCTGAAATTAGCTGAAAAAAGTTTAAATTTGCACAAGGAAACTGAAAGAAGTTGAAGCATAACAAAATGTGAAAGGAGCAGCTCAATTAATTTCCTATTAGGAAAAAAGTAGCATAAAAGGCTAAATATTTCAAAAAGCTAAAGCTGCACCAATACCAAAAGTCACAGCGTCTTTCTCCTGAAAGAGCTGAACGTTTTGATTTATGATTTATTGAAATAGCACAAAAATTGTGGAACAAGAAAGATGCCGAAAAATGTACAGAAGAAAAACGGATCATAATAGTGTGAGTGCTTCATAAGCGTTCACACAACAAGAGTTGACTTTATATTGTATTAAATGACCTATAAGTTTTGAGCTTCATGGGAATTCCCTGTTTAATTTCAGTCATACAAATTGTGTTTATATGTACAATCTGTAGTTTGTTAATAAAAGGGCTCCATATTTATGCTGGCGAGTTTGGACTCCTAAACAGCAGAAATTAGAGACCATTGTAGTCTGGCAAGGGTTTAAAATTTGATTAGCAACTTAGCAAGAATGTACAGTAATACATGCATCTCAGTCCTGTTTCCAGCTGCTCAGTCTGTGTAATGATCACCTGCACGCTGACTTCTGTCATTAGCTGTGACCTTTTTATTTTTAATTATTATTTTTTATCTCACATTGTATTCTCTGTTTTGTTTTTTCAGGTTACCTCAAAGCTTTCCTGAGCTTCGTAATCTAACATGCCTGACCATCAACGATATTTCTTTACAGGTTCTTCCAGAAAACTTTGGAAAGTAAGTAAATGTTTTATTAAGAAATCTCTTACTTGGACAAACAAACAAACAAAAAAAAAACACGTTTAAAATGTTAAAAACGTTCTATTCAGAATTTTAGAATAAATTTGATGCGCTGGATTATTAGCGGCAATCCCAAGTGTTGACTAGTGACTACAAAGAAATGCTAAAAGAACTAGCTGATCCAGAATCAGATTTTCTGTTTACACACGAAATGAGCAAAAAAAAACTTTTAAAGAAAGTCGGTTAAAAAAAAAAAAAGATGGCAAATGCGCTCATAGACGGCTACTTTAAACAAACATTAGAGGCAACGTAGCTGTTTAATCGGCACTCTGAGACCTGGCTTGTAGCAGTGAAGTTATTCAGATTTTTACTAGAATTACTTTGCTTATAATAAACAGTGTTATGACCTCCCGCTCAGTCTTTTGCCGTAAATGATTTATATTTAAATATCGTTCTACTGATGTATTCGCAAGTAACTTTCTGTCTATAGGACGACATTTTACTGCCCATGGGGGCCCCAAGTGACAATCCCAAAGAGCCTTTGCAATGTTTTTCTAAAACTAACCGATGTTTCTGTGATAATTCAATAAATAAATAAAATCTGACGAAGTGAACGATGCTTTGAAATCCTCATAGTTTTGTTTTGCTGCACCTGAAAATGGTTATTTGGTACACAATTTAGACCTAAAGTAATTTTCTGAAAATCCCTTTGCAACTGTTTAATTAGTTAAAAAAAATACTTTCCTACTAAGAGTAACAAAGAGTCGAGGTTAAAGCTTTCTACTAGACTATCCAGGACATGATGTCTAACTTGGCTTGAGCAAAAGAACTAAAGATGAACTGCAGCTTCTTTTTTTAAAAAAATTTCTCAAAAGCAACGCTACACAGTTTAGTTTCAAGCTATTTTAGGAAATATCTTCCTGCTGCTAACTAATGCAGCTAAAAGCTAACATGGACTGATTTGCAATTCTTTCCTAATAATTCCTTTTGAAAGACATCAAAGTGTCTTTGTTAAGCTATAATTACCATACTACAATAAAAACCTGTCCACAAAAAGTTACAGAAAAGAGTTTTTCCAGATTGTTTTTTTTAACAGTTTAACTTGATCACTTCTCCACGTGTGTGCATAAATCTTTGTGGACTGCACACTCGACCTGTTGGACAACTGCATCAATCTTTCAATGAGCAATTGTACAATCTGTGGTATTTTGAGGTCAGCTCTGTAAGCCAAATCTATGTAAAGTTTAAGGAAATGACTTACTCTTCCCAGACACATTCATCATTGTCCTTTTGGCTTAAATGTCTGTTCGTAAAAGGCAAGCAGGTTGTCTGCCAACATCTGTGTCCCTGTATGAGCCTATTTTTATTGTTGAGTTCAGTTTTAATTAAATTTAATATCACAACTATGTGCTTTTAGGTACCACACGGGATGTCTTTAAAAAAAAAAAAAAAAAAAGTTTGGAATTCCACACTAAACCCTCCTTAAAACTTTTTTTTGACTACACACAAATAACCCGTCCTTTGCAAATAAGATTTCAGAGAGAAATCTACCATTTTGTTGCAAACACCAACATGAGTACAGAACAAAAACATGCATGTTAGGCTGCTTTCAGGCTCGGGTCTCTCTTGCAAAAGAGATCTGTGATCTCAGTGGGATTTGCAGGATTAAATAAAGGTTAATAAATTAATAAATAGACTTGGGTTGCCACAACAGCAAACAAAAGGCACAACTGATTAATTTTTTGACTGTAGACAAGTTATCTGCTACTTCTGCTCCCTTCTTTAGCCTCATGGTACTGCCAGTCCCCCCCCCCCCCCACACACACACTTTGTATTTTTATCTTTTATAATGCAGTGACTGAACGCCTGCTCTCCGTCAAGGGGAGGAGGTAATGAAAAGCAGAACGCAGTTGGAGCCAAATGCTGCAGGTATTCAGAGGAAGATAAGATAAATGTGCGAGGGGTTAAATGCCATCGGTAATTTGTCTCAGGAGTTGTTTTTTTTTTTTCTTTCCCCCAACAAGAAACGTGTGAAAATCAACCACAGGTTTACTGTTGTGAAAGAAGGAAACACAGAAAGCAAGATGAACTATATACACTATATATATACTAACTGTATTTCATCTGGTCCCTGCTGTTACCGAGAGACTTTATAGTTTACATAACCGCAGACTTGTCGCTGTTCGGCAAAAATCGCTGAGTTCAATCAAAAATATGTCGTTTACGTGAATCATCTAGATCT